CTTTCTTTTCCCCTTCGCATACATGCATACAGATGGCGACTCACACTGGCGCAATGCGCCCACTCAAAGCTCAGAGATATGGAAAACGAGAACACAGTTCAGATGCAAAATCACTTCGACAAACTATGGCGCTTCAGCGCCTGCACACTCAACTCTCGTCACTGTGTCCAACACCACCCTTCGCACATACTCAACTCTGGATCACCCTGAATACCACCACACACACACACTAAACCTATCTTCTTCCTATCGCGGCTATGGCCGCTCTACCACTACTGGCTATGGCTACGATCTCGCTCTTCAGCCCACTTCGACTTCGGGCAACCTGCAGACCACCTTCACACAAGACGCTGTAGCAGCGCTTCCGCATGGCTTACGCAGCGAATGAATAATGGCTGGGCGCTGCCTCTTGATTTATACTTCTGTAAGTCGTTGATCTGCCCTTTTCCACTGGGCCCAAGGTGCACACAGTCCCTCATGGTACTTGCTGACGGTGCAAAGTGAGACTGGGACTGGGTACCACTGACTAAGCAAAGTTGGGCTCACCACTTGCCCACTTGCCTCTGGCCTATTGTGTAAAACGTGGGAGGAAACTTGAAAGGCCACTTCCGGACCTTCCGGAAGTCTGTGGACTTGGCCTTTCGAGTACTGTAGCAGCTACGACCTTGACCTTTCAGGACTGTAGCAGCTACGACCTTGACGTCTCAGAACACCTACAGCCTCAACCTCTACAGAGCTGTGACCCCTACTCGACAGACCTACAGATTGAACCCCTACAACTACACAGACCTACGACAGACAACAACCAACTACCAGAACACAGGTCACGGGTTCAAACACGCGGGGTCAACTCGATACTGTACATGGGCAAGGTAAGGTCTGGGGATCGAACTCTAGGGGCCCCATCTGTGACTGCAAAAGGTGAAAACCGTTTCAATTAGCACTAATCCGCAATTAGCATGCTACACTAACCCTAATCAAGCTTAGCGCTAATCCGCAATTAGCATGCTGAACTAACCCTAATCAAGCTTAACAACTAATTAATGGATTCAAGATTTGCACTCTTTTTCTTTTCGTTTTCTCCGTTCTGTTGTAAGTTACTAATTCCTAAGTTCGTTTTTTTTTTTTTGTTGCAAAAAACAGGGCCGTATGGTCCTGGCTCCATATCCATTCTGGGGAGCATCAGTCCGGTTCCTTTTCCACTGGCAAGTCATGGTAATACAGCAACATACATACACACGCTTCCTTCCGTCTGGCCGAAGGACCCCTGAACAACATTGATTGCTCCACCTTTGTGGAGGATTAACTGTCAGCTTGCCTTTTAACCCAACGTCCTCTCAACTAGGGTATACCCTAGATGTCTGGTATCCTTTAAGCTCAAGACTTTGAGAGAGGCACAATCCTGTCCACAAGCCAATGTGTCTTGTGATGGGTTCTCTCAGTGCTCTCTCTGCTCTCTGTGCTCTCTCTGCTCCCTCCTGCCAATCTCCTTCCATGTGTGCCTTGTTGCTGTCTTCTTCCATTGTTCCCCTCGTTGCCCTGCTATACCCAGATACTAGCCGGTATCTCTTGTGTCCTGGAAACCTCTCGACTGTTGCCCTGTCTGAGTTATGCCGGTCTTTCCATCTCAGACTGAGCTCATTTAGACCTGCGACTTTGCTTCCTGCCAGCCAACTGTGCTTGAACTTCGCAAGCACCTCCCGTTTTGTTTCCGGATTGTTCTGCACCCAGATTTTGACCTTCTTCCATTGGCACAAAATCTCATCCTCGATCATACCTTTGGTGGCCGCCCAGACCATTTCCGGTGGATTCTTAGCTCCCTCCAGCGTTCTGCTGCATCTCTCTTTCCAAATTGCCCATAGCGTGACCTTGCGTATCATTCCAAACCATATCCTTTCAGATTTGCTCAGGTTGAGGGGTAGGTTAGTCCAGAGGAGGAGTTGAAGGGGGTGTTTGGGAAGAGGAGACATGAAAAGGCTATCCCAAAGGTAAGATGCCCTAGCCCAATATTCTGTGGTTTGTTTTTTGAAAAAAAAAAACAAAAAAACAAAAAAACACTAATTCCTAAGTTTGCACTTTCGGCATTTTCGAAATCCGTGAATTTCGGAAATCCGAAAATCGTTATTCCGAGAAACCCGCGAATTCCGTGCAATTTCGGAATCCCGAAAATTTCGGCATTCCGTGAAATCCGTGTATTCCGCGAATTCCGGAAATTCTGGCAATTTCGGTTTTCTGCAAAGTCCATACATTCCGGAATTCCGTGAATTTCGGAAATTCCGAAAATCTCGGCGCTCTGTGAATTCTGCGGAAATACGAAAGTCGCAATTCACGATTAAGACAATTTTCAGTTTTTACCTGTGTCTAAACTTAGGTTTGGTTTCTAGGAATTAGGTTATTGCAGATTTCGTTTTTATTTCGACTTTTTCTTGGCACGTATCCTTGGAAATCGAAGTACTCCGCGAATTTATGTTCTGAAAGTCAAGATTATTTCGCGATTTTCACAAATCAAATTACTGCAGAATTCTTCTCGGGACATCAGATTTAATTCACGAATTTCATTTTCTGGAAATTGGAATGATACTCCGAGAAATTCTTTTCTGAACTCACGAATTTATAACCGAAATTTCCCGTTCTTTTCCTAATTCCGTTTCTGGTCCGGTACCCCGAAGCCCTAAAGGCGCGGCACGTTAACGGGAAAGTGCCGCGGCCGATAGCTGGGCCAAGTACTGGTGGTTTAACAAGTGAAATCCGTTTTTTTTTACTGCTCGTTATCTGATAGATGCCTCATTAATTCTCAAATCGACAGATTTCAAAAAAAAAAAAAAAAAAGAGAGAGATCTTTTTCATTTTCTTTTTTTTTTTTCTCTGTTGATTAGTACCCGGGATTGGAAATTGCAGTCCGGATTGTTTGCCTGTCTGCATGTTTTCTTCCCACCCCTCTTTGTGCTACGGCAGTGCCACGTCAGCAGAGCGTGAAGGGCGGGCAGCCACAGCAGAGCAGCAGCTACCCCTGCCCCTCCCCTCTGCTATGGAGCACAGGGCAACCCCACGATGGACAATGCCGCATCTGGCAGTCCACGCAAGGTGTGCAGCGCGAACCCCCTGGTCTCACAGGTCCAACAGGTGGTTCCCACTGCGACACCTGCGGGAGCCCTCGACGCTGCGCCAGTCCGGCAGCAGGGTGAGACCATGACAGCCTTCATGGCCCGCCTGTCCACCTACATGCAGCGAGTACAAGAGGAACGACGACACGAGGAGGCAGCTGAAGCCGCACGCCTCAATGCCATAGCACGCGATGTGGAGCAATGGCGCCGGCAGCAGGCCGAAGCAGCTGCAAACCATCACCAACTTCGTAAAGATGCCGCATTCGTCCTCATGCAGCAGGAAGCAGCCCATGCTGCCACACTCCAAGAACGGAACTTTGTTCCGACGGAGACACACACCGAACCGACTGCAGAGGAACAGACCAAAGGCAGCACTCTCCCACCTCATGCACCAACTCCTCCTCACTTGCAACTTGCAACAAGTGGAGTTGGCTCGACAGGCGTGTATCATCTCAGATTACGCGGAAGCTCACAAGAGTTTCCACACCCGCCTCGAGGAATTGGAGAAGGATGGCGTGCCGCACAGGCACATGGCATCCTCGAGCACCGATCCATCGATCCCCAAACTAGAGGAACAAACGGATCATCTGGTAGCACTCATCGACAATCTGAACCACTTTCAACGGCCGGCGACCATTAGTCAACAAATGGGCGCAGTACAAGCTGGCCTGCGTCAGCTGCAGAAGCAACCAACCGGGACCTGCAACAGCATGCCGCCCAGACTGTACAAGATGCCAAAGTTCAGCATCGAGAAGTTCAATGACTACAAAAAGGCGGACCCCTTGACTTGGTGGCAGGGTTTCACCAACGAGCTCTCCATTCACTTAGCCCCGCGAAATCGAAGATCTCAGCTCTTTACCTTCGCAGCACCGGTGCCAGCCAAGTGTGGCTCAACCACCTGGCACAAACCGAAGGCATCGAGGTCGCAGCCCTCTACACCAAGTACACTTGGGAGGCCATCACCGAGAAGTGGTGGAAGCGCTTCATCGCCGACGACGCTCAAGACAAAGGCGCGAACCGGATCTTCACCATGCACCACGGCAGCCAGCCAACACGCGAATGGCTAACCGAGTGGCTGAAAATTGTGACGATCCCGAATCTGGATATACCTTTCGTGCATCTTCGTCTCGAATTCTTCCAGCGGTCAGTTGACGCATTGAGCACGGCCCTTGGGGAGCGCAGCTTGTACACAGACTTTGACCAAATCGTGGATAAGGCACACAAAGTAATCCAATCAAATCGGCGGGCCGCCAACGAGCGGCGAACCCAACCAAATTTTGTGGACAAGGGCAAAGGCCGCGGACGCAGCAAGTCACTGCTGTCCAATCAGATGGACAAAACAATGACCAGGCGCTGACTCACGAGTCTAGTGAAGGAGACCGAGTCAACACCCTTCCGCCATGACGCAACAGCAAGAAGAAGAAGGTGAAATCCACATCAACAACGGAAGTCGGACAACCGAATGAGCCATGGAAGAAATTCCGCCTCATGGAGGAGCAATACAAGCTCCGCCCAAAGTGGAATTGTTGCTTCTGGTGCAACAGCACCAAGCACACGACGTCGCAATGCCCCGACAAAGGCAAAGAAGACGTCCCCCCACGACAAAGCTCAGGAAACTGAGCTCCGCGGGAAGTGAGGTGAATCCACTTCCTACTCCGCCGGAGATGGTTGCCTAACCTCCTCCATGTCCGGGGAACATGCGTATGTCGCAAGTCTTCAAGAAAGTTACAAAGACTATGCTGTCCAGCTGGTCCCTTCGTTGGACCAACCTCTCCACGTGCAAGAGTCATATGTGTGCGCAACTTCATCACCATCACCAAGTGAACCAGCATCCTTGCCGACACTACTTGGGAACTCGTCGGTATGGTCTAGACTTGAGGACCTCGACCCATTGACGCCGGAGAACTTCCCATGGATGCCTCTTCCCCCATCTGGTTCCTTGCCGAACCAGCATTGCAAAGTCTTAATGGCAGAACTACACAACTACTTGCACGCTGCAGTATCAACTCCGTGGATGGAAGACAAAGTAGCGATTGTTGACCTTTGCGAGTACATTGCGAAGATCGACCGCGAGTACGTCAAGCAACGGTACGACAACATTGACGCGCCGTTACTCTACATCCGCATTCAGATCGGGAAGGCGACCTGCAGCGCCTTGATTGATTGTGGAGCTACTCGCAACTACATCAGCCAAAACTTCATGGTGCGTGCCGACCTTGGGCCGTGTGTTCGAAGGAAGTCGCAGCCCACGCAAGTCACATTGGCCGACGGTCGTACGCACAAGTCCATTGACCGGTGCGTTGACTCCGTCCACGTGTACTTTGCCCCACACGCATGCGAGGTCATGTCCTTCGACATATTGGACACAAAGTTCGACATGATTTTGGGCATGTCGTGGCTGCGCAACGAGGACCACCCGGTGAACTTCTACCACAACACCATTCACGTTCGTGACCGGAACGGAGTACTTGTCCCATGTACGGTCCCCCCACCTCACCCTTCGATTGGTTGTCATGTGGTCTCCGCGGCAAACATTCGCAACTCCATCGCACGGAACGACGTGGAAGAAATGGGCATTTGCTTCTTGCACGCCCTCCCTCCTCCCAACGAGCCAGCGACGGAACAGCCACCGGATCCACGTATTGTAGAGCTTCTTGACTCCTATGGCGACGTCTTTGAAGCCCCTGCCGGAATCGTACCGGACCGACCAATTCGTCACGAGATCATTCTCGAAGACAGGGTCGAACCTCCACGTGGATGTATCTACTGCATGAGCGAGGAGGAACTCGAAGTGCTACGAACGCAATTCGATGACCTCATTGACAAGGGCTGGATTCGCCCTAGCTGCTCGCCTTACGGTACACCCGTTCTCTTCGTCCGGAAGAAGAACAAGGAGTTGCGCTTATGCATCGACTATCGCAAGCTTAACACTCAAACCATTAAGAATGTCGGCCCGCTCCCATGCATCGACGATGTTCTCAAACGCTTGGGCGACGCCAAGTACTTCTCCAAGGTGGACCTCAAGGCGGGCTACCATCAACTCAAGATCCATCCAAGAGATCACTACAAAACCGCGTTCAAGACACGGTACGGGCACTTCGAGTGGGCCGTAATGCCATTCGGCCTCACGAATGCCCCGGCCACCTTCCAAGCGACAATGACAACGGAGTTTCGCGACATGCTTGACCGGTTCGTACTCATCTACCTCGACGATATCTTGGTGTATAGTTGGACCTTGGAAGAGCACATTGCGCATCTATGCACTGTTTTGGACAGGCTACGTACGGCCAAGTACAAGGCCAACCGAGCCAAGTGCGAATTCGCACAACAAGAGCTCGAGTACTTGGGCCACTTTGTGATGCTGCAAGGCATCCGTCCACTCGCGGACAAGATCAATGCCATCCAAGATTGGCCGGAACCGACCAACACCACGAAAGTTCGCTCTTTTATGGGATTGGCCGGGTACTACCAACGCTTCATCGGCATATACGCACGGATCGCCGCACCCTTGTCAAGATTGCAGTCTCCAAAGGTGCCTTTCCATTTCACCGACGAAGTCCGAAGTTCGTTCCATAAAATGAAGATGGCATTGCTTCTCGCTCCCGTCTTGAGTATCTACGATCCCACCTTGCCTACGAGAGTGACTACGGACGCTTCCGACTACGACATGGGTGCAGTTTTGGAACAATACAGCGGAGTGGATAGACATCCGGTTGAGTACTTCAGCCAAAAGGTGCCTCCCATCAACTCGGTTGATGATGCGCGGAAGAAGGAGTTGCTTGCTTTCGTCACGGTACTAAATCGTTGGCTACACTTCCTCCTCGGGCGTCGTAGGTTCACTTGGGCTACGGATAACAAACCATTGACCTACTACAAGACGCTAGACACGGTGAGCAGTACGATCACTCAATGGATGTACTTCATCGACCAATTCGATTTCACACCAAAACACATTTCGTGCCTCTCCAACCGAGTTGCGGATGCTCTCTCACGAAGATAAGATCTTTGCGCATTGACTCACCACGTGTTCAGTTTCGACGACGCCCTTCATCAGCATTTTGTGCGAGCATACAAGTCCAATCCGGAATACGCCACGCTCTATGAGCAACTATTCTCAGATCACCCATCGGCCAGCCACTACCACGTCGTCGACGGCTACTTGCGTCTTCACTCACGAGGCAAGGACTTACTATGGGTCCTACACAACCATCGCTTACGGACTCGCCTCCTCGGCGAGTACCACGACTCGCAACTCGCTGGCCACTTCGAAGTCAACCGTACGATCGCAAGACTTTGACAACGATTCCGGTGGCCCGACCCCATTACCGACATCACTCGGTATTGCGACTGTCGACGAAGCAAACTCCACAATCGCAACCCCTACGGCGAGTTACGCCCGTTGCCTATCCCTCGGGAACCCAGCCTCTCCATTGCTATGGACGTCACCAGTCCGTTCCCCCACGACCACGTCGAGCACGACGACATTCTCATGGTCGTTGATCGTTTGAGCAAGTACGACGATTTCTTCCTTGCAAGTACTACACCACAACTCCCGAGCTGGCGCGACTCTTGCACACCGGCTGGATTTGCGACCATGGTGTTCCGGAAGACATCGTCAGCGACCTCAACACTCGTTTATGTCGACATTTTGGACTGCTCTCATGAAGGAGTCCGGCACCGAGATGAAACCGAGTTCGGCTCGGCATCCACAAACGGACGGGCAAACAGAGCGGGCACATCAAACCGCTGAAATGATGCTTCGTATGCTCATTCGTCCGGATCAGAAGGAGTGGGTTGAACGCCTCCCCGACATCGAGTTCGCCTACAACACTTCGTTGCATCCGGCGATCGACGTGACTCCATTCGAGTTGCACCACGGTGGCCGGAAAGGCCGTATCTTCGCTGACCTCCCATTCCCACGGACTGCTGACATTGACGCCGCTTGCTCTCCCACCTCCATTTGGAAGTATCGGGACTTGCTGGCTAAAGCCCGCTCCAACATGCAAAAGGCTCAAGTCCGCATGCAACAACAAGCCAATTGGCGTCGCGTGCCATGCCCCATCCGCACCGGCGACCTTGTTCGGGTCTCCACGGAGGAGTTTGCGCTTGAACAAGATGTACCGCGCAAGCTACTTCCAAAGTGGTTTGGACCATGGACCGTCACATCAGCCGCGGGTGATGAGCCCGATGACCCTTCTTTTGTGATCGACATCCCGCCTCACCTCACGGTCCACCCAATTTTCCACGTCTCCAAGCTGGCCACATATACACCAGCCAAGAGCGACGACTTCCCGGGCCGACGATCGCAGGATCCTCCTTCTATGGATGGTCATCAAGAAGTTGATCGCATCATCACGCATCGCAAGCACGACAACAAGCCAATGCTGTACAAGGTCACATTCAAGTGGTGCGACCGCGACGACACACAATGGATTTCACGAGCAGCCGTGCAAGCCTCCACACCGCTTATCTACGCTGAATATGACAAGAAACGACTAGTCACGGAAGCTGCAAAGCCTGCCCCTCCCACCTGGACTTCAGTCCCTCCCTCCAACAGACAGCTTCGACCTGGCAGGTAAGCTCGGTCTTTCAAGGAAGGGGGAGGGTGGCATACTCAGTTCCACACAGGTCCAGCAGGGCCCGACCAGGTAGGCTAGGGGTTAGTAGGGTTAGGTCTGTGTCGTTTCGGCCTGCATTAGGGCCTGTAGGGTCTGTCGGTTAGGTTAGGCCGACCTGTACCAGTTAGAGGCCCTGTAGGCCTCGTTTCGGATTCAGGCCTTGGCGCACATTTTGGGCGTCAGACCCTGACCCAGAGGCTGTGCCGTTTCAGCAGGCACTTGGGCGGTTGAGGTCCGACCTCAGTTTGGGCGCCAAACTTTCGAGGCCCAGCCTCAGTTTGGGCGCCAGGACTCAGCAGCTGAGGCCGACCCAGTGCTATATATAGCTGGGTCCGGCCTCAGTCAGGGATGGAGTAGAGGATTGAGTGGAGGCATACTTCGGATGACGGCAGTACAGTAGTAGTCGACGATAGGACTAGTCTTCCAGCGCTGGGCGCTGATAGAGTACAGTAGCGCAGGGAGGGAGAGATGGTGGGGGAGGCCAGGAGGACTTACCTGAGACTTACGTGCGATGTCATCGCTCCAGCTTCGTCTTCAGCACGTCCGTACCTGCATCAAGGCGCCACCTTTCACAGGTCAATGCCTGGTAGATAGATAGATAGAGATAGATAGACAGATCGATAGATAGATAGATAGATA